ATTCTGAGCCATGACATTTAATCATTCATGTTTTTTTTATTAGATATATGACTCAACTGTCCACAGTAACCACAGGTGTGGTAGGCTACATTAGATTAATTCTGAACATGATCCACTAACATGCCAAACAGAAGTATCCAAAACAATCCTCCTTTTATGAAATGTTTAATGTGTGCTATATCTTTCATTAAAATGCATGCCATTTGGTTTGACATTTTGTTTAGCATTACAATGACAACCATACATTTTTAAGTGGTTAAGTGTCCCAATTCTTTGCTGTTTTAACATGCTCATAGGCTGACAATAGTGTGAGAAATATAAAACTGTTTATGATGGGCCCTGTAGCGATTCTTAACTCGCAGGGAATATAATTTGAATAACTGGTCATGAATATGTCCAGTAATCGCATACATAGATTAAGGGAATAAGTTACTGTGGCGAGCAGTACGAGGCCAAGTGATGTGAGAGCGGCGCGAGGCTGGTGGCGAGTGTGATAATGAACGACACCTGTGAGGCGTACTGATCTCGCATCTCTCACGGAGGAGCGGAAGTATAAATGAGGAGTGACGACAGTAAAGATCGAGAGAGGAACAGGCCTGAGTTTGTTGTGTTTTGTTTCTGTTTTATGCGGCCAGCAGTCATCCGTAAGGGGCTGCTGGCATATGCTTGCATTTTTGTGTGTCTTATCTGCTGGCTTATGCTTGCAAAGGCATGTGTCTTATCCACTGTGCTATCACCACCCTATTTTGATTTCTTGAGTCCAGATGTTTTTTTTGTTTTTTTTTTTCTTTTTGCCAAACATTAATGTTAGGCCTGTGAAAACTTCACCATGCCCCCACCAAAACTGTTTTGCCCCCTTTTCTGTCCTATTAAATTGGTTAAATGTCTAAAAAATACTTTAGAGTTTCAAAAAGGGATTGCTTTAATGTTATTTATACTGGATGGTTTTCTTGGAAGAAAATAAAAAAGCACGGATGCTTAAATATTTTATGAGAAGGATGAATCACACACCACAGCCGTTGGAGTTTGACCGCCTCTGCTTGTGTAGCACGCGATAATGACCACAGCTAGTCAGTTCACTGGTGACTGCACTCTGTGCTTCCGTCTTTCTGTTGCCAGTTTTAATGTTTCATTGGGCCAGATGGCCATTTTTACATTTCCCTCTTAAAATGTGTCATCTTAAATTCTTATTTCATTTATATAACTCCCCCTAAATCCTTTGTACGTCGTTCAGTATAGCTTTCTCGTGAAAGTGGGAGAGGTGGGAGGGCCAGGCACCAGAGATGCCCGTTGAGGCTGCCCCTCCCTTGTGAGAAATGCATAATGTCTGCCAGGCACCACAACCCTTTCTAAGAAACAGAGTTGCAGTGGCACAGTAGCATGCATGTGTACGCCATGTTCTGACAGTATGTTAGAAAAAAATATATCTAAAGAATTATTTGTACATATAGTATATGTTATAAATATCATTTTTGAGGAAATATATTTTTTAAGTAAAAATATAGATTTAAACTACAATTTGCACACACACACACACACACACACACACACACTGCATCACTATGGCAAGCCGTTTTAGCTTGAATTGTACCCTGCCTTACTCGTCATTGTCACGGGGTGGGTGCAGGCAGAAGAACAGGCAGAGTCCAAAAAGCTCCAATACAAAAGGTTTACTCATATGTAAATCGGGATACAGGCAGGCGGAACACAAGGTAACATTCACATTGACCGACAAAGACAGAATGAAACAGAGGGAACTAAATACACAGAGGAATCAGGACTAATGAGGTGCAAACAGGTGAAACAGATGAAACAGGACGCTGAACGGGAGGCTGATGAGGGAGTGAGTCCAGGTGTGCAGACGAGAGGATCATGGGAAGTGTAGTGCAGGAGACGCAGACAGGATGGTGCAGACGCAGACTGTGACAGAACTCCCCCCTCCCGCAGAACAGAGGAAGGAGGGGGGGATGATCTGACGGCTGAGCGGGGCGTGGCCAGGGCGGAGCAGGCTGAGGGCGTGGACGGGGCGGAGCAGGCCGAGGGCGTGGACGGGGCGGAGCAGGCCGAGGGCGTGGACGGGGCGGAGCAGGCCGAGGGCGTGGACGGGGCGGAGCAGGCCGAGGGCGTGGACGGGGCGGAGCAGGCTGAGGGCGAGACCGGGGCGGAGCCGATGGAGGGAGGACCCCTGGTGGAGCCGATGGAAAAGGGGCTGACGACACCAGGGGGCCGACTGACAGGGGCGGAGCAGATGGGAGAGGAGACCAAGGTGAAGCTGAGGGACTGACGACGTGTGGTGCTGATGAGGGACTGAGGGAACATGGTGACCCCGCAGGCTCAGGTGACCAAAGTGATGACAGGGGCACAGAGGGACAGGGTGAGGCCAGAGGGAGTGAGGGCTGACGGGTGACTGGAGGGAGTGAGGAGTCCGACAGAACCGGGGGGGTGACATGACGGGGCGGAGCCAAGGGAAGGAAGTCCAAAGGTGAAGGGAGGATGACGAGGGAGCGAAGGGAATCCAGAGGGTCGAAGGAGACTGGCCAAGGTGGTGGACTGAGGGGCCATGGAGGAGCTGAGGGAGGGAAGAGCCACGGGGGAGCAGATGGGACAAGGGGCCGAGGAAGTGTCCAGGTAGAGGAGGCGGGAGGCGAAAACTGAGGAACCAGCGACCAGGCAGGGTCAGGGGAGCAGGCAAACGGAAGAGCTGACGGTTGACTGATGGGAGGAGGCGGGAGAGGGAGGCTGGATGGGATCCTGGTCTCGGGCTCAGGCTGGACGGTCTCGGGCTCTGGCTGGACGGTCTCGGGCTCTGGCGTTGGAGTGGGGCTGGTGCCGTCGTCCACGGTGAAAGAAGATCCACATGACACCAGCACCCACTCCACATAGGCCGCGAAGTTCCCTCGAGGCCCATCTCCGGGCAGACGTGCCTGGGTTTCAGCGTTTAGGCCTGCCCGGAAGAACACACAGAGGCTTGTGTCATCAAAATGAACATGAGGTACCAAGTTCAAATACCTCTGTGTTTGGGCCTCGAGGGATTGATCCTCCTGCTCCAAGAGTAGGAGTTGTACGGCTGCAAATTCCATAATTTGGGGTCGGTCAATCTGTCACGGGGTGGGTGCAGGCAGAAGAACAGGCAGAGTCCAAAAAGCTCCAATACAAAAGGTTTACTCATACGTAAATCGGGATACAGGCAGGCGGAACACAAGGTAACATTCACATTGACCGACAAAGACAGAATGAAACAGAGGGAACTAAATACACAGAGGAATCAGGCCTAATGAGGTGCAAACAGGTGAAACAGATGAAACAGGACGCTGAACGGGAGGCTGATGAGGGAGTGAGTCCAGGTGTGCAGACGAGAGGATCATGGGAAGTGTAGTGCAGGAGACGCAGACAGGATGGTGCAGACGTAGACTGTGACAATTATTGCATTCCAGTAACAATTCAATTAGAGAGTTTTACAATTTAATTCGTAGCAATTACAATTATAGAGCTCTCTAATTAAATTCTTACTAGTAACAATTATAATTAGAGAGCTCTCTAATTCAGTTTTTGCTAGTAAGAATGCAATTACAGAGCTCTTGAATTCAATTAGAGCTCTGCAATTATACATATCTTTAATTCGTTTTTTTACTAGTACTAGTTCAATGGATACATATGACTAGTAAAAATTCATTTGTAGAGCTCTCTAATGGGCTATATGCACGCATAAGTTCTGCATTTGACGCAAGGATGCTTGTCCATTTCCGGTTGTGGAGATTAAAGCGGAGGAAAACCGAGGACAACGGGATTATGGCAGAGTCTTCAAAATTTACTGTCCTCCCGTCTTTGAAACGAAACGTACATACGTTTAGATGTAATTTTATATATAGTTATGTTTATTTCATATAATTTTAAAAAGAAGCATAAACACAACGAGGGGTGTCTGTTTTGTCTGTTTTTGTGACGGTAACGTTTCTTTACTATAACCATGGAGTATAAAATTTAATATAAGTTCTTGGTATTGTAGGGCTGTTAAACGATTAATCGCGATTAATCGCATCCAAAATAAAAGTTTGTGTTTACATAATATATGTGGGTGCACTGTGTATAATTATTTTGTACATATATACACGCATGCATGTATATTTAAGAAGAAAAATGTTATTTATATATAAAATATTTATATTTTTATATAATATAAATTATATATAAAATCTATACAGTATATATATGAAAATATTTCTTAAATATATACAAGCATGTGTGTGTTTTTATATATATATATATATATGTATATACTGTATATAATCATACGCAGTGCACCCACAGATATTATGTAAACACAAACTTTTATTTTGGATGCAATTAATCACGATTAATCGTTTGACAGCCCTACACTCTACGATCGACGGAAGTTATCGAGCATTCTTACATCTTCACCGGAAATACCGTCGAGCATAGAGCCCATTGCAATTGTTACTAGTAAGAATTGAATTAGAGAGCTCTCTAATTGAATTGTTACTAGTAAAAATGCAATTACGACGAGTAAGGCTGGGTACAATTTAAGCTAAAATGGCTTGCCATACATCTCAGATTATGTCCCTAAAGAACCCGCGTTTAAAGTACATTACATTAATTCATTTGGACGAGAGTTTTAATGGTACACATGATAATACTGTAACTTATCTGAGGCACAGCTGCATAATCAGTGCTCAGTGCTTCCTTCGTTAGCGATATAGCTGCTACGGATCCACACCACACTTTGTCTTTTGTTAATAGTCTCTTTATAATCTCTGTCACATTCTCTTCATGATTTTCGTAACATTATACACAGAAATAAATATTCGAAATTTGCTTGTAAATCTTTGTAAACACAGAAGCTTTTGGCATCAAAGATGGTGTCTCCAGGGAGGTCACGTGACATTAATTGGCCTGTGGGAGTATAGATGTCAGATACTTAAACAGCTTAGGGGCCATCCACAAACTTTACTCAATAGCCTCCATATGCATTCATTATGTAGATGAAAATGAAATGCAGGTTCAGAGAAGAAGCCAGTCAGGCCCTGGAACTCTTGGAGCTGGGAAAGCACAGCGGGTGCAGCAGGATATGGGCAGGTTAGGAAATTAAAGGGCTAGTTCAGTTTTGTGTAAAAGAACTCTTCTTATTTCATGTCTTGTGCATTTTCCACAGAGCATTTCCCGGGCTTTTTAAAGCGAAGGTGGCAGGAAAACTGGCCAGAAAAAGAGGTTGAAAGTCAACTCCAGTGCAGTTCTTCCTTTTGCATAAAAACCAAGATCGAACACCAAAAGCAAATGAAGATGCTATCCTCCTTCAGGCAGGATTGGGCCGAAGGACCATAAGTGTGCCTGAAGAAGCTGACCACTCAGAGGTAGGCTAAGTTAAAGGGATTTTACACCCAAAAATAAATTTCTAAGTGAAGTCTAACCATCTTGCCATCCAATGCAATTTCTTGCTTCACAACTGATAGGTATAAGAAAAATATTTTAAACGTGCAAGAAATGTTAGTCCTCTGTAGGGTTGGGACAAAAAAATATGTCGACACAAAATATGTGCGTCGATTCGTCAAACCCAACACAAAGATGGCGCCGCCGGAAAGTAGTTGCTGGAAAAATGAATCGTTAGATTAATCCAGGGATGCTGGATTCGCAGTCAGTGTAGCACAAGGGGCCCCCCCACCAAATTTTTTGAAAAAATGGTGCTATGACTACATCTGTACAGGAGCAATAGACAAGGATGAAATGTCCAAAGACAATGTCACCAATCCAGAGCTCATAGAGCTTATTGAAAAGGTTTTTAAAAACTAGATCAAATACATTAAGATACACATCTGAACACCAACATTCAAATACGTATATTCCAGTCAGAATAATTAATCTAGTACTAGTAATATCTAGTTATCTGTTGTTGCTTCAACATATTTTCTGGCTATATTTTTTACTTGTGTTTTTTTTTTTTTTTTTTTTTGTAGCTCCAAGAATATACTTGCATATTTAGATGTGAGCATTAGTGAGTTAAGACACTGATGTAGGGTGATGGACTCTGGCTGGCGGTCTGCATTAAGATGTCTTCTCTGTAACTAATAGAATAGGGAAACTAAAAACTTAATTAAAGGGGGGTGTCCCTAAACATTTGGCTGTAGTTTTCACAGCAATTTTAACACTAAGACTCCTTTCAGGTTGATGCTGCAGACACAGATGCTATGGTAGACCTGTCCGACAGAATTTTAACAAGCGGCTATACTGGGGCCATTGGGCCAGAACGGAAGAAGGACATAATCGAGTATGTAATTAAACTTTAATGCATGCAATGGTTAAAATTTTCAGTTCTTAATTTCTATAATAAATGTTTTGTCCTTTTCTATATAGTGCTATCGTTCTACACTCAGCAGTGAGGATAATTCCAATGTTGCAGCAGGTCTGTGATGGGCTGAAGTTGTATGGTTTCCAGGACTTGCTGGCACAACACAGTGAGACCTGCCTTCAGATCTTTGTACCAGGATACTTGAAAAAGGTTGTTAAATGTCCATTGTATAGGATAGTCTTTTGATGTATGACTTGTTGATAAAATACAAGTTTGTCTCCTCAACTCTTTAGGTTGATGCAGAATTCCTAGAGCTTGCCCTGGCTCCCATATTCAGAGAGGAAGGATCTCTCCGGCACCACAGAGAGTGCCGCATCATTAACTTTTTACAGGACTTTATACAAAAGCTGGAGGATGCTGGTGAATGGAGTAAAATTTTTCAACAAATCAAGTAAATTCTCTTTTCAATTACTGAAAGTATGGTTGAATATTTTTTCCATAATTTTGTTTAGAAGAAGAACTTGCCACTGCTGAGAAAGAGGGCGTTGGAACTTACTTTACTTACTTACGCCTACCGCCCAACTTTGGGCATAGGCCACGAACAAGGGCTCTCCAGTCATCCCGATCCTGGGCCAACTTCTCTAGCTGTCCCCATGTGTGGCCAGACCTCTTCACATCTGCATCAAGGTCACGGCGCCAGCTATTCCTTGGCCTGCCTCTCTTCCTTTTCCCTTGTGGGTTCCAGAAGAGGGCATGTCTTACAATGCTTGATGCAGGCTTGCGAAGGGTATGGCCAACCCATCTCCAACGCCTTTGGAGGATCTCTTCCTCAATAGGCTGCTGTCCTGTTCGCTGCCACATCTCCATGTTACTGATGGTGTTTGGCCAGCGTACCCTAAGGATTCGTCTTAGACAGGTGTTAATAAAGGATTGTATTTTCTTCGTGGTAGCGACTGTTGTTCTCCAGGTCTCTGCACCGTACAGTAGAACAGGCTTTATCATAGCATTGAAAATCCTAATCTTGGTGTTCCTAGGCAGCTCAGAGGATCCCCAGACTTTCTTCAGCTGATGGAAAGCTGCTCTTGCCTTTCCAATCCGCACCTTCACATCTGCATCTGTCCCTCCCCACTTGTCGACTACGCTGCCAAGATAGGTGAAGCTTTCCACTTCCTCTAGTGCTTCTCCTTCTAGCCTGATAGGAGCTGTGTTGTTATTGTTGACTTTGAGGATCTTGCTCTTCCCTTTGTGTATAATGAGTCCCACGCTTGCTGAATGAGCTGCAATGATGTTTGTCTTGGCGTTGGAAGCATCAGTCAAAATTCCACCACTGTAAGCAGCTTCTTCCAGTGGCTCACGGGACAAGCACACATCCCACTAATTGCTACACAAAGAGAAGCCTTCAAAATCCGCGTCGAGTTTGACCATGATTGTGACGTCCGTTATGGTCATCACCATAGCACGTGCTACCCAGTCGTAAATGCTTGTGCTGTCTGCATTACTTTCCCGACAAAACACCTTGGCACATATAAGGAGTTTCAAGATATCCTTTCAGAAGCAATAAATAATAGCCAAGAGTTTGGTCGCCACTAGGTTCAAACAAGAAGAATATGAGGTAACATTTCATTACCATTTTATATTAAAGGGTGACTGTTGGTCATTTAGATACATAGTAGTAAAAGCTGCAACATGTTTTAAGATTGTTTGGACAGCATTTAACATTTAATGAGTTTATTAATTTAATTTACTATTAATATAAATATATAATACCTTTTCTGCCACCTGGAGGCAAAGATTGTTTTTTAATAAAAGTAACTAGTAGCAAATGTTTTAAGATTGTTATGACCATACAAATTTCTTTAACTAACTGAATTGTTATTGGCATTTATGAAATAAACTACTTGAAAGTACAATTTTGAAAAGATGCATTTATTGATAGACATCTCCTTTTGTGTAATGTACAATATGAGATTAGCTCCAGTTCAGCATATTATGTTGACATACCACTGTATAAAATAATAACCATACTTTACACTATCAAACTTAGTCAAATCCGTGTTATTAAAGAATGGTAATCACAGTTCAGACCTGTAACAGTAATACTCTTTACAGACTTGTGAAAAAATATGCGAATCCAAACTGAAATAAAAACTGTTACATTAAAGCCTAGGATTCCACTCAAATTACTAGAGGTTGCATCTGCCAGCCACATACTCACGGCAGATTACATAAAGGTCTGTAAGTGGAGTGTTGGGATCACTCACTCACATGTATGAGAGAGTTAAGTTCTGTCAGTTCCTCCTCATTCAAGAGACACTCAAACTCTGGGACCAATACTGCACCATCCACATTTTCTCCATCATGGTCTGCTGCTACTTCCCAATCAATGTCTGGCTCTTGAATATTCTATTTTTCAGCAAAATAGAGTAAGATAACAAATAAATTAAGAGATGCATGTCATTGAACTTAATTTATAAATGAAAAAGATTTGTCAAAGAACAAGAGAACAACCTCAAGATTCTCTGGCTGATCAATTTGTGTCTGCATCAATCCAATATGCCACTTCTGCTCTGGGCTCAAATTTCCCTCTGTGCGGAATGGATGGTGGTTCCAGCTAGCAGCAAATTTCTCCAAGTCTGCCTTTAAGTTAGGTAGAAATATGAAGTGGACACGGAAAAGGTCTGTGGCAGAAGACAAATCAAGTTGGTGATCTCTTTCCAAGCTTTGTAGTGTATCACAATACTTCGAGGTGACGCAGACCCTTACATCACGCCATAGACGTTCAATCCTATGAATGCGAGAACAGTGCTAAAATAACTAAAGAGAAGTGGTCATAGAAAAAAAAAATTCTGTTTATCATTACATTTATAATTTAAATTGATATGGTGCACCTCTGGTTATAAACACTTTTTCCTGACATAAAGCTCCCACGGTCAGTACCACGGACTGAAAGCATAAACTTAGCTATTTCCACATTCTCCACCCCCTGGTCTGCTCTGACTCTGTAATGAAATTATGAAATATTAGTTGGAGAATTAAGAACATTGAATGAGGGCAAAGAGAAAAACACATCAACAGATAACAACAGTTATCAACATTCTTGTTCATGTTCTTAAAAAAAAAAATAAAAAAAAAATATATATATATATATATACAGTATACACACACACACACACACACACACACACACATATATAAAAGCTTAAAACAGCAGCCATATCAGCCTGTAGCCCAAGACTGGTTGCCCATTAAAGCTAAGCAGGGCTGAGCCTGGTTAGTACCTGGATGGGAGACCTTCTGAGAAAGCCAGGTTGCTGCTGGTAGAGGTGTTAGTGTGGCCAGCAGGGGGTGCTCACCCTGTGGTCTGTGTGGGTCCTAATGCCCCAGCAAAGTGATGGGGACACTATGCTGTCAAAAAGAGCACCGTCCTTCGGATGAGACGTTAAACCGAGGTCCTGACTCTCTGTGGTCATAAAAAATCCCAGGATGTCTTTCGTAAGAGCAGGGGTGTAACCCCGGCATCCTGGCCAAATTTGCCCAGTGGCCTCTGTCCATCATGGCCTCCTAATCATCCCCATATACACCAATTGGCTTCATCACTGTCTCCTCTCCACCAGTAAGCTGGTGTGTGGTGAGCGTTCTGGCGCAATATGGCTGCCGTCGCATCATCCAGGTGGATGCTGCACACTGGTGGTGGTTGAGGAGATTCCCCCCTTCTATGTGAAGCGCTTTGAGTGTCCAGAAAAGCGCTATATAAATGTAACAAATTATTATTATTATTATTATTATTATTAAAACAACATAAGGATAAGTCAATTTAAGACAATTTTCATTTTTGGTGAATCTCGTTAAGACTTTCTTGAGTATGCTTTAAAGATTAAGAAAAGAAATTAAGAAAGTTATTAAGAAATTTGTGTTTTACCCAACCAGTAATTGCATATGAAGAGTTCAGATGCAAAAGCCTCTAAATGCCATTTGTAAATTCCAGGAATTCAAGATCAACTGGTGATCTTATGAGAGCTAGTTCTAATTTGGACAGCAGTCTTGAAAGAATCTGAAATCTCAGAATTTCCTAAGAACACAAAGACACATAAGTAAACAAGCTTTTAAAATAATACATTCCACTAATAAAATGAATAACACGTTTTACTTTACTTTTATCTTACTTTAATTTTAACCAAAAGTGGTATATATCCAGAGAATAAATTAAATAAATTTAAAAATAAAAACATATGAGAGGCTAAGCTGTGAGTGACCCACATTTCTGATAAAATTATTGAAAATTTGGCTCCTGCAACTGCTGAGGTCAAATGACTCTTATATCGCTATTAAGCAAGAAGTAGCATGTTGTGAGAAAACAACTGACATAGGCCTACATTTATGAATTATTTATAGGAGAAAACAAAATGCACGTGTCTAGCTATTTTTAGTACATCAAGAGTTGGCTGTGTTACATTATCTAAGTCAAATTATGTAAAAACTTACTAAATATTTAATCACTTACATGCAAACTTGGGTCAGCCATTTTAGAAGAATCAGGTCATGGGCCTCCATCCAGGGTACCTCTCAACAGGTTCACTAAACTGTATTTCTGTATTTCCACCTATTTTCAGTTATTTACAATGACAGATTTATAAACGCACAAAACATTTAACAGCTACAAGAAATTAAGTAGGAATTTAGATATAACGTAACCCATAACGTTACCTCTTTACTGTCTGTCATCATCCGATTCCCAATCTTCCCGCTTTCTGTCTTCGATCTGAGGCTGTGTCCTCGTCCAACAACAGAGAGGGAGACGAGAGATTCTACGAGATGCAGCCAATCAACAGCGTTACAGGATTTGGCCAGCAGCCAATAGCATTTGTTACCAGGAGAGTTTGGGCCCGCCCCTGAGAGTGTCAATCTGACTCGTGCGCGAGAGTTCAGCTGCGCGCGTGTAGAAAAGAACGTGTGTTTAAATCTCAAATTAACTTGTTAATTTGTGCGCACAATCATATTTTTTGTGCTCACACTATTGTAATTCACTTGCGCGCTGTGTTTATGCGCTTGCCCTATTTTGTCCACCATTTGACGCCATAAGGCCAATTTATACTTCTGCGTCGAGGGTACGCCGTAATGTGCGGCGTTGGCTACGCACATAGGCGACGCCGTTATGAGCATTTATACTTCTGCGTTCAGGCCTTGTTGCTCTGCAGCACTGCTCCGAAACGCTAGTTGGCGGCGGAGAGTTTTAATGTTCCACTGTGTTTAGATTCCTCGCGGCTAGGTTACTACAAGCAATAGCGATTGAAAGAGAGTGGATCATGTTGGAGTTGGAGCTTATTGAGGTGGAAAAACAGTTCACTTTAGTGAAATTACTAAAACTGAAAGGCAGAAATGAGAGAAGACGTCGGAGGAGATGGTACGTGTGGAAATCATAGACAGTGGTGGAAATGCGTGAGAAGGTACGTGCGGAAATGCGTAGGAGGAAATGCGATGCTACCAAGCCGACCAATCACCGATCTTGCGGTCCGCGTCGTCGCGACGTGTAGTTACATTTTTGAGGAGGTGCGCGTCAGGCGACGGCGAAGGGTACGCGGTATGGGACGCGTCTGTGCGTATGCTACGCCGTACCTACTGCGCGCACCCTACGCAGAAGTATAAATTGGCCTATAGACGCGTCTTTAAAAAGACGTGCCGCGTGCACACTCTTTCAGTGAGAGGAGAAACTCCGCGGATGTTGAAGCGACCAGGGAGAGACACACACACTGGCAGACCACTGCTCAGATCGCAGGCAATGTGAAACTCGCTGGGTACCGCCGTCACACCAACACCAGAGAGTTCGCTTGTCTCGAAGAGGTGAGTCACCGTAGTAAACTCAGATTTTGTGGCTTAGGAGTGAAGAAGTTCTCTTGGCTCCGAAGCGAAAACATACTGCGGTTGCGTTCACTTCCCCTGCGCTTTTGTAAGGGCTGCAAAATGTGTGCCAACCGGGAATGAACAATTCACAAAAGGTTATTTATATTAATTACTGAGTTGCGGCCGCCCCGCAATTTCGTCGTGCCCCGCTCTCACGAGTCATGACTGATTTAGCTTCCACTGCCCCTCAGCGCCGTGAGGACGAACCCATGCTCTCGCGAGTCATGAATAGGAAGTGCATTTTACTGATTTTCCGAGTCATTTAATTTATTTAAGTGGCTTAAATTAATAATTTTAACAGCCAAATTCCCCGATCACATCCACCTACGCAATGTTGATCATATTCTGAATTAAGAAATCATAATGCAGTAAACAATTATTTACAGGGAACATAAATAATCACTTTACCTTCCGAGTCTTACGTTCATTTGTCACGTGACATACACAATGAACAGATCGTTCATGAGTCACATATCTGGGACTAATGCAGCAGGATGTCGAAACGAAATATGGTGGATTGTTGTTATTATTATTATGATAATAATAATATGATAATAAGAGCGCACCAGGAGCGTTCACAGCCGAGGAGACCAACTTTCTTGTCATGGCCGTAAAAGACGGAGAACTGACGTTGAATGGGGATAAGTTATGTCCTTATAGTTATGCATATAGTTATGGCCAAACAGGTCTGATCCGTCATTACTACAATTAGCCTGAAAAAATTGGGTAGCTTAAATGCCTAAGCTTGAAGTGTTAATATTTTTCCTTGTTATAATGATTTGCAAAAATAAAATATGTGGATATAATATATCCAAAATGGGAAATAAAAAAAAAAAAAAAAATACCGTATTTTCCGCACTATAAGGCACACTTAAAGGGTTAGTTAACCCAAAAATGAAAATTCTGTCAGTATTTACTCACCCTCATGTTGTTCCAACCCCGTAAGACCTTCGTTCATCTTCAGACCACAAATTAAGATATTTAAGATATT